GAATGTTTCAAATATGTACGACTGTAAAGAAACTGAGAATTTTTAGAGTTCATACAACTAAACTGGCTATTAGTAATAAATAATATTGTTGGGTAATTACACATCGCATTCCAAAACTTGGAGAAATAATCAAAGAGGCTCACAGGCATCCCGGAAAGAACCTTATTGTGTTCCATCAAAACCAACCAAACTGTCACCATTGGCAGTTGTTTGGACTCTAATGTGGTGGGAACTTGTTTTCCTGTTCTATTTGTTTGTTGTGATGGTCTCAGAAGAGGGTGGGGGCAGACCCTTTCCACACAGTTGGCCTTGGGTTCCAGAGTAACTGGAGGACATGTCACACAAAGGCCCAGTTTGACGGGGTCATCACTGTCACCATTCACAGCTGAAGGATGTGCCAACTTTGTAATTGACAGCTGCATATGGCTGCCATGTCCCGCTCCCTTCGAGTCACCGTGCCCCTTAAACCGTCCACCGAAAAGAAAAAAACGACAGAAAGGATGTTTACAAATCAAATCTGAAAGAATAGATGTGTGAGATGAAAGGAAGACTTCTAAAGACTAGAGGATATAAAAGAAAACTATCATCTAGCATTAGAGGACCACCTTTACTGGCGCTGTTGTTTTGAAGTGCATGTGAGTGGCTGGGCTGGTGAGAAACACTGTGGATTTACATAGTGGTCTGCGACTTCAAACGATGTGGCTGACATTTGAATGGGCTGCTGGTGGGAGCCTCTGGTGGGGGTTTTGTTGTCATGCAGGGTGAGCCAAGAAAAGTGGGCACACAGCTTTTCCTGTTTACTGGGCCCACAGGTTACCATAGGAGCCCGGCACAAACCGAGCTCGGACGGGACAATGACAGTATGGGAAAGAGCGATGGGGACTCTTGGAAATTAAACCATAAGAGGGGTACACTGGATCTAAATGGGTACAGAGTCACTAGGTGTAGAGCTCAGAGAACAGAATATGAGTAATGCACTAATAACAGAGGTGTGTGCCCTTTGGTAAGCACAAGTTCTCATACTCTGTACGTGGCTACAATAGGAGTCATGGACGAGTGGCAAATGTGAGTCAAGAGCTGTTTATTAATAGCTCATAAAGTTAAACGTTAAAATCAGGGACTACCTGCATTGCTGTCTAACAAAATTGTGAGATTTGTTTAACATGGTGATATGGTATCATATAATCATCTATAAAAAACAGAGCTTCACTTGTTAATCTTAGTGTCAGTGGTGCCCTTAAGGGGTGGCCAGGGGTGACCAAGCCTCTCAGGTGGACGTGCAAGGAAAACCTCACCAGGGAGGCATCCAGGAGGTATCCTAATCAGATGCCCGAGCCACCTCAACTGGCTCTTCTTGATGTGGAGGAGCAGCTGATCTACTCTGAGCCCCTCCCGAATGGCCAAGCTTCTCACCCTGTCTCTAAGGCCACCCTGCAGAGAAAACTCATTTCGGCCTCTTGTATCTGTGATCTCGTTCTTTCAGTCTCTGCCCAAAGCTTGTGACCATATGAGGGTAGGAACGTAGCTCGACCAGTAAATCGAGAGCTTCGCTTTCCGGCTCAGCTCTCTCTTCACCACAACAGATCGGTACAACGCCTGCATCACTGCAGACGCAGCACCAATCCGCCTGTCGATCTCGCGTTCCATCTTTTCCTCTCCCGTGAACAAGACCCTGAGATACTTAAACTCCTCCACTTGGGGCAGAACCTCATCCCTGACCCGGAGAAGGCATTCTACCCTTTTCTCACTTAAGACCACGGTCTCGGATTTAATAAGTAAATAAATAATTCATAGTTAGGATAATATATATGTTGCTGCTGCTCACCATTTTCTAAAAGAAGCAATAATATTGACAGTTTTGTGGATTATTTTGTTAAAACTGCAGCAGGGGTATCAAATTGTTCTAAAATGGTGAAACAATAAATGTTAAAGTAAAAACAGCTGAGTTTTGTTTTTGTCTGAAATGCTTGTATTTCTCACATTTGCGGTAAGGTTGTTGGCTGCATATTGTTTACTGAAAAAGAATGAAGGACCATGCAATGCAAAGCTAAAAGCTTAACGCTCCCAGAGTTAAGGACCGCCAAAGTGTGCCACCCCAAATTTTTCACTGGACTCTATGTAAATTTTCCAGGGGCGCCCCTGCTGAATGTGTGTGCTGATGTAGGACACTGATCAAAAAGATCCAAAAGCACACCTGGACAACAGTAATTAAACTTCAGACACAATCCAACCACAACAGCCTCAGTGGGAGTAGATGTTAGTCTAGTACAGAGAGCCAAAGGGAACACTCTTTGCTCCTGACAAGAAACACCTGTCTGAGTGAGTGAACACCGTGAAATGAATGAAGCCTCTGGGACAGAGCGTGTGTGCAAACCGTCCGCGTGCAAAATCTGCGCAAATGGGTCACAAATGAGTCGAAACTAAGTCAACTAAGAATGCATATCGGACTTTCCACTCTGATGCAAGCTTGGGTCAGGATTCAAACTGCAAACATACACACTGATCCACTGTTGCTTCCACAAACCCAACACACTTCTTCCCTCTTTTCTCCCCTCCCACAGCTTTCCCTTTCCCTGCCTGGCTGGCTGAAGAAGCCGCGCTGCCTGCCTTGGTGGCGGTTGCCCCGTCTGTCAGTCTATTTCCAGGCTCAGGGCCCAGCGCTGAGGCAGGCAGTCAGTCAGGCGGTGTGGTGGAGGGCAGAGGGGTTGATGCGTGTGTCAGAGAGGCGCTCTCCCACATTCCCCCGGCGGCTGGCAGCAAGCCGGGCCTGTGGAGGGGGGTTCGCCTCTTTCTCACGACCTCTCGGGTTCCTGCGCTCATCTGGGAGCTATTCATTTCCTGCCAGAACACAACCTTCCCCTGCAACTGCTAGAGGAGGCGGGGGTTGCAAGGGAATGGGGAAAAGGAGGGGTGGGAGAGGAGTTTGGCTTCCATATGAGTCCAGGGCTTGGTGCAGCAAGCTCTGGACTTAAATCATAAAGCTCTTGCTTGTCTGGGCTGCAATCAAAGACAGCCCCAGTGATGGGTTAGGAGAGAGATGCAGAAAGAGAAAGAACTGTGTGTGGGAGAGAGAGAGAGAAGAGTGGACCATATGGTAGCACTTACAGAGCCAAGGAGGAAGCAGAAGTTTTTTTCCCCTTCTTTTTTTCTCCCTGCATGCACGCGGAGTGTGGGAAAACTTAATGGACATGCATGGCAGCTAACCTCATAGTCGTGTTGTGACATGTGTGCGGTCACTCCGGCAGTTCGGCCGCTGCACCGGGTAATTGGAGAGGCTCGTAAAGCTGCTGTCAGGAGGGGAAGAGAACCGCTGAAGGAAAGGAGGAAAGTGGAGGAAAGGCAGCGGAGACAGGGTGGGAGGGCTCAGCAGCTGGGAGTCGTCCAGGTCACACCACGTGCCTCCCAAACGTCCCGTGTCCTGCTGTGGCCCCGGGGCTCAGGGCAGGAAGCTCGACACCAGCGCGAGCACAGCTGGAATGCTGTGGGAACGCTTTGTCAAAAGCGTGTGTGAGGGCTTTTTTAGAGAAGGTCTGAAACACAGGATGCTGACTGTTACCCTTTGTGGCAGGCCTCTCCTTGAACTCCTCCGTCCCGTTTAACTCCCTAGCGCCTCATCCCTCGCGCCCTTTAACCAGACATGTCCACACCCTGCAACGCAGACACACACACAGTGCACAAAACATGCACATAGGCATCGACACACACATGGCTTCAATCAAATCAGGATGCATGGGCCCCTGTAAAAAGGTGTGATGGAAATTCAAAATGATGGCACTTATCCACACTTTGTGCCTCTTAGCACAGTGATAATTGCAAACACCTGTACCCCCCACCCCCTGTACACACACCCCCTTCAGAGGAGGGCCACACTCAAGTCGCTGGAGGGGGCATCCACACCTGGGCAGAGCAGAGCGCTACCACATGGCTCAGTGACGATGTGTTTATCGTGTCCTTCTTCTGTCCAACACCCCCGGCATCAAGGAACTCAGACCTGATTAAAGACTCGGCCTTAGGCTCCTCCACTCCAGCAGCAGATTAAGAACGCTGACTACATCCCAAAAATCTTGATAATGATCATGTTTGCAGAGGCATGATCACTTTAAATCTCTTACTGTTTGTTAAAGTGAACATTTGCCAGCTTTTCTAACTCTGTGTATTTAAAACACATTAAAGCACGAATTCAAAATTTTCCAATTAATTTACTGATAACAACAGGCTGTAGGGAGAACAGTTCCAGAATGTGACGTCAAATAATAACCATACAAGCAGATTTCCCCTCTCTTACAGTTAAAAAAGACAAAATCTGCTAAATTTCCTCAAGCTTGATGACAGCAGCAACGCCTGCTGTAAATCCTGCACCATCAATCAGACTGCAATGTGGTTTCCTGCTGCTAGATGGCGCGCGTCACCTCTGTAAAGGTAAAAGTAAGGTCTGGTGAATCAGTGCAAAAAAAACTGATCATCTCACGCCACACGGACGTCTTTCACTTGTTTATAAACTTAAAACTTCTGAAAACGTTTAACACTCTGAGATAAAAATGTTTCTGTGGAAGCTCATTAATAGTTTTTCATTTCAGTTTAGACTATTGCATCATTGCGCTTCTGTGTGGATTTTAAAACCTTCTCAATTAACCAAATAATCCTCACACGATTACTTCTAATTTAGAGCATTGTTGTTATAGTAAAGCAGCTGTTGTTTCCTTTACTTTAAGCACAAAAACATTTACTTGTTTTATGAAGATATTCGGAAATGTGATGATGAATTTGACGCACTGAGACCAACTCCAACAAGCAGCACAAATTTGTTTTACAAGTTTTTTTTAAACAAATTTATTTTGTCTTCCAAAACGAAGAACAGCGTAAGGGCATTAAACATTTCTTTGGCGCCACACAGTAAAAAAAGAAAACAAAACCTCAAATATAGCCTATTTATATAAAATGCAGTGAGCGGACTTAAACAAAACAAATCCCATTTCAATATGAACTTTACTCCGTCTTAGCTGTACACATATAGTGCATACTCTTTATTTTTACAGGAAAAAAACAACTTTTCTAGAGTTCATCAAACTAATAGTGTCAGAGTCTTTATTGTGGTCCTTTCACCACGGCCGCCACACCGAGTCCGAGTTGCCTGAGGGAGCTCCGGGGGACACCGCAGCCGGAACAGGCACCGGCGTGCTGACGTTGTTTGCGTAAACCGGGATGATTGGGCCGTTTGATGCAAAAGCCGCGTTGGGGATTAGGAAAGCGAATTGTCCGTCAGTGGCAGGTACGATCTGAAAGCCGCCGTACACTTTGGTGGCATCTGGAGGTAAACTGGCCGGCGAGGAGCCCCCTTTACAGGACCCCGGGTTCATGGGCATGACCTGCGGGGATGAGCTGGGGATCTGCACCATGGACTGAACGAAGGAGGGGTGTGTTGGCCCCGCGTTGGATGGGAGCTGATGCTGGTGCTGATGCTGGCTGGGAAAGTTCATGGCGTTGATCTGGGTCATGCAACTGGCCAAGTGGCCGAGGAGGCGCGTCCTGACCTCAGTGTTCACACCTTCGCAGGTGGACAGAAAGCGCGTGACTTCGTTCATGCATTCACTGAATCCTGCGCGATATTTTCCCAAAACGGTGGGGTCAGTGTTCAGCGCAGCTGCAGGGAGACAGAAAGGTATTATAAGTCAGTGTTGAAAGAACATCCAGGCTTTCTGGCTCATTTCAAAGCGCGCAATGCGAGATCAGGTTGTAAAATTAAACTTACCGGTCATCTGAGCCCTCTGGAGGTTCCGGAGATGTTTAACTGTCATCTCCAGGATGTCCGCCTTCTCCAGTTTGGAGTGTCTGGAGCTCTGAGGGGACGGAAAACACACCTGGTTAATATTACGCGCTCACTTTCAGTCTGACACTGATAGCCCGGAGATCTGCTAACAACTTACATCTTTTTTCAGAGCATCCAGAATCAGAGTTTTCAGCTGACCCAAGCTCTCGTTTATTCTGGCTCTTCTTCTCTTTTCCATAATTGGCTTTGATGACTGGAAGTAAAACCAACAGACTGTTAGAACCAGGCGCGAAGCTCAGAGCGCGACCAAAAATAAATAATCTAAGGGATGTTGCGATCATCCCGACTCTGATGGCAGGTTTTACACCAATACGCACCTTTCTATGTTCAGATGCTGTCTTGGGTTTATCAGGAGTAGTGTTCATGCTTGCCGGGGTCGCAGCAACCGGAGAGGATGAAGACTTTTCCATCATGTCGGCAGGCATCTTCGTCGCTGATTAGAAATATCCCAGTGCTACAGCAAAAATATGATCCACGTGTGTATGAAAAAGTATGATGAGATCTTCAAAAGTCCCAAAAGGAATCCTGAGATGTGTACCGTGTGGGTCCGTTAAGGAGCGATGCGCAGCGGCGTCTGCTACCGGGAGCGGATGCAGCCTCTCTGTTGGGCTCTCCGCGTGTGCCTTGTATTTATATCTGGCACCGCACGCGAGCGGCTCGTGTGAAACTTCCCAAACTTTCTTTCCCACAGTAACTTTCAACCAATCAGGGCGAGGGACACGCGGCCCGAGGGAGGACGGCTCGTGGTCGGCGCCCTCCCATTGGTTGTTTGGCCGCTGGAGCTGGCGGGTTCAGGGCGCAGCCGGGGAAACTGTCTGCAGCCTTCAATCATCGGAGCGTTTACACATTAGCTGCGGAGCCGCTGACTGGGCACCGCTGTCAGGAGCAGGCACGGGGACTTCCCATCTGCCAGACACCAAATAGCTGCGAAAAGTCAATGCGCACCAGCAATAAATCTCATTTTTACTCCACGTATAATTGACAACTTCTTGGACACGTGTCGGGAATTGTTTTATTTTAACTTAAGGCACGAGAATTGTGACGTTTAAAGCACGGGGGGACATGAGAGGATGAATCAGGAGAAACCCCTTTTTAAGTGCACACTTCCTTTCCACACTACATCTTTAAAGTCTGTGGTACAACATTTACCACTTAATCATCCGTCGGTGTTGTAAGTGTGGAGCACGTGCCAGGATGTTTTATGAGCGCGCGATGGTTGGAGGTTTGGCCGCCGGGCTGCCGGGGGGCCACCGGGCTGCGTATGGGGGCGAGGGAGGCTGTGTGGTGGCGGCGGCGGTGGTTTACATTAGAGGGGAAGGTAAATAGCAGCTGCTGTTTTAAAAGCCTGGGAAAACCACGCCCACTGAGGGAGCTGGATCGGGCTCCCTTATCGGAATGTGAGCCAGAGCGGAGATATTTGTGAGCCTGCAGAGCTCACACCGAAGCCTGCCCCCGCATCATTCCCGCCCGTGGCTGCCTCACAGCGTTCAAGGCTTTAGATATCAGGTCATAATTTCTTTTCCTTATCTTTATTGTTCTTAGATGGACGTAAGAGCAGATGAACACAAAGAGTGAAATAATGTCAACAATCGCCTCGTGAGGGTTTATTGGAGCAGCAGCTCCACTCTTCAGGTTGTGCAACTTTATACTCACAAACACGGATGCCTATAAAATCCGCTGTCTGATAGCCTCCATAGATTTATGGATCATGTGGGGTTTATAGTGTATTCGAGGTGATAATTAAACCTTTAAAAACTTTTTTCAACTATAATGAAATGGGTTTGTCTTCCTTAAAAGTTTGCTTGCATGATGTGTGTGTGTATGCAAATGAGGAAAAGCGCTTCTTTAATAGGTAAATGACTTCATGTTTTTAAATCGGAGCGCGTCGTGGTTTTCCGTTGCGCACACACCTCCAGCTGGTGCAGAGACCGCGGACACGTGGCGCGCAGGCGACCAGGGGAAGGCGCTCCTCTCGCCGGCCTGCCGCCTGGATCTGCGGGGCGTCGCCAGCGGTTGGCCGCAGGATCGTGAATTTGATGGACAACCCTGCAGGTCTGCACATCAGATAGTCGAGGGAGCAAAGAGGAGGCTTTAAAATGTTTTAAGTTTTCTCCAAAAACACAGAAAGTTAAACTACATGCATCATCTTCGTGACTTGATTGTGTGATGATTCATTAAGAGCTCAAGAGTTAGAAATTAAAGGCAAATATGGATAAAATGCGCGCGAATCCACGCGCATCGTGTGCTGAACGGCACATTTAGCCAGCGCCACAATAACCCGACTTTAATCCCACATCCCCGCGGGCGCAGCAGCCAAACACGTCCCCTTGTTGTGAGCAGTGCACCTGACTAACTTTGTCCCTCACACAAAGGCTCTGACAGAGCTCCAATACAAACTTCTTGATGATGCGCAGACGGAGCGCAGGTTTTGAAACGCTCTCCGCCTGAACGACTTTCTCACGCTCATGTTGCAAAAGGTCTCCGGCTGCGAACTGAGTCACGGAGCTCTGCACGGTCAGTCCCTCCCTTTTCCCTGCAAGTTGACTCGTCTTTTCGGGCGCACCTGGACGCCCGTCGGTCCCTGGAGTGTTACCTGCTGCAATGTATAACCAAGGTATCACACGAAATCTGTGGGAAACTGGTGAAATCCCAGTAACCTCGCGGTGTCCCTTTTTAAAAGCTTTACGCGCGCATTTTGTTTAGAGATAATTAACAGATTTAAAACAGCAGGATGGCTGTCTGACCAGCAGTAGTCAGAAAAACAAACAGGATAGAAAAGTGTAAAATTCAACCCTCATCCTTCTTATCATTTCAAGTTTTATCTCCCCCGCCCCTTTTATCTCTCCTCTTTCATTCCTCATCATTCAGTCTTTCCCAGGGTTCATATCTTTATTGGACCTTCACACACTGCAGTGCTGCAATTAGCCAAGGAGATAGTGGGGGCAAAGTGTGTGTGTGTGTGTGTGTGTGTGTGTGTGTGTGTGTGTGTGTGTGTGTGTGTGTGTGTGTGTGTGTGTGTGTGTGTGTGTGTGTGTGTGTGTGTGTGTGTGTGTGTGTAATAGGAGTGACACCTTTGCAGAGCAATGGCAGCAGGGATCATGCCTGCCACAGCTAAACTGAGGGTGGCACTGTGTGGAAACAAACTGCTCTCCCAAGAGATGCTGACTTATATCCAGCAGAACCTACTAACATGGTAAACAAGTCACCGAAATCTCTTCATTTCTTACACCAGTGAGTGGCCAGTGGGCGACACAGATAAGAGCTTTTCTGTTTCAATAAAAAAGCTCATTAGGCTGACACTTTCAAAAGTTTTACCTAAATACAAACATGCAAGTGCATTCTTATTTTGAATCATAAACATTTTTTTCTAAAAGGTTCACAGTTTTGTAATATTAATAATCAAACTTAGTGAGATTTATCCGTCCAACCCACTTACCCACACAGGGTTGAGGGGCTGGTGTCGCACAGGACACGTTGCCAGTTTATCACAGGGCAGCACAGAGAAACACGCACAGAGACCAATTGACAGTTTTGGACTGTGATAGGAAGCTGGATGTGCACATGGAGAGGATCTTAAATCCATGCAGGACTCCAGGCCAGATTTGAACCTGGGACCTTCTTGCTGCAAGACAACAGCACTAGTCACTGCTCCCCATGAGATTTATTAGAAATTCAAAACAAATTTTCTATCAATGTTTTTTTAATCCTAAATGAAAGGGAGTGGATACGAGCTACAAAATAGCATAATATAATATTAAACAGCTTTTCTCCTGAGTTTGATTTATTCCAGAACCTTGAGAGAGGCAAAAATACTTTCTAAGTACACTTTTGTGCGACAGTTAAGTTGTTTCCAGCCCCAACCTGAAATATTAGGCAAAACATAAAATTTAAGCTTATGACTAATTTTTTTAAATATTCTTGGCTGAACTGTTGCAACAGTCCTCAATGTTCTCTACAGACCAAACAGATTCTGTGCTCAAATGGGTCAAGTTCTCATATCATAAAATGGTTTTCTTGAAGAGTTTTAACAGAAACAGTGTGTTAATATATCTGAAACCGTTCCAGGAAAAGAGTTAAGAAAGTTTGGAGCTATTTGTATGAAATAGTTTATTAGTTTCCTGGCAGATGTAACATGTGACTTTAGTGTTGTTTCTGCAAAACCTGTTCAATGTGACCTGACGAGGTTGCACGAGGACAAACCCTGCAAAGGTGTGATGTGCTGCATGCTTCTGCTGACTGTAGGGGGCAGTGATATTTATTAGATAATACATCTCTTCAGAGCATGGACAAAACACCAACAAAAGAAGATTTTAGCAGAAGCCCAAAGTTTTATTTTAAACCTCCAAATACAACGACTGATTGTTTAAAAATCCAGAAACTTCATTCTTTAAAAATGACACATTTTCATCATAATCTAAGAATCAAATGAACTCATATTCTTCTGTAAACTAATGAACTGTATCCACACCAAATTCCCAACTAGCTTTGCTTGGAAGCTGAAACACCACCCACAATCAGCAGAGTGACCCATCACCCAAGCTGCTCGCAGGGTTACAGTTTACAGAAGGCTGCGTGAAAGCGATTAGCTCTGACAACTTACAGAAAACGATAGCGGAGTGTTTTACTGATTCTAAAGTGTGCTGGCGAGGAGAGGGGGAGGAAGTGAAGCAGCAAGTGAAAGTGTGTGTGGGTGTGTGTTCATGCGCATCATCCCGATGTGGGATTAATGTGTGTTGTTAGTGGGAGTGGAGTAGGACCTGTGCTCAGCTGCTGTTAGCGAGGCCAGCCAAGGCTTGGAGAGCAGGATCAAAGCAGGGACAAAGCGAGAGGAGGAGAACTGACAGATCCTCCGAGCGGAGAGAACAGAAGGAGGAGAGAAGATGAGGGGCTTTTGGAGGCTCTCCAGATACAGCCGCGCTTATCGTTTGCCTCCCTGTGCACACACACACACACACACACACACACACACACACACACACACACACACACACACACACACACACACACACACACACACACACACACACACACACACACACACACACACACACACACACTCACACACACACCAAGGAGCCTGAAGCACCCTAGGAGCAAGGAAAACAATAGGTACAGTGAAGCTACTCCCTTTCCCCATATAGACGTGCGCACGCACACACACAAACACACACACACACACACACACACACACACACACACACACACACACACACACACACACACACACACACACACACACACACACACACACACACACACACACACACACACACACACAGATCATCACAGGCCATTATAAGCCTTGCAGACACGGCGCTGGGGTCCATTTTGGCTGTGTGAGACAGAGAGATGTTTTAAGGCCTCAGAAGAGGGCTGTAGACCAGAAGTTCCCCAGACAGCTGCCACGGCCATCCTCCACTTCAGAAACCGAGACGCTTCCTTCAGGGGTCTTTTTCTATCCTCGCTTACCCCCCCACCACCATCAGCTCCCTAAGCTTCCATCCATCTACAGCACTCTTCCTCCTCGCTTTTCTGTCCTTCCATCTCTTCTCCTTTTTTTCCTGATGCCTCCTGGAGCAGACCAGAGCTATTTGCATGTGTGGGGGAGGCGATGTAGCGTCGAA